CTGCCCTGCAGCCTAATGAGAGCTTTCGTCGTGACACACAGGGGCCTCAGGCCAGGGGCCTGAGGACAGGACTCATCTGTAGTGGAGGAAGCTGGGGTGCATATGCTTGGTTAGATGACAAGGGGCACAGTTTAGCAAGGGAAGGTGGTATTGGTCCAGTTTGCCCTTGGCTGAGACCCATGAACAAATGCCTTCAGAAACCTAAGACAGCACGGCTTTGTGGTCCAAGAACAGAGCGTGTCACAATTCACCCCACTTCATACAGTGCCTGATGGAGGCCATCCACAAGTCATAAATGGCAGAAGACGTACAGGTGGCAACTGCAAGGGAGGAGTAGGAAAATAATGACCTGGACAGTGGAGGTGGGGAGTCAGGAGAGGGCAGTGTCCGGAGCTCAGGGCCTAAAGCCAGACCATCTGGGCGAAGTCCTGGCTCTGCCTGGCACTTCCCAGGGATGTGACCCCAGGCAACCTCTCAGTGCCTGCTTATTCACCAGGCTACTGTGAGCATTCACTGTGATAATGCACTAAAATGCCTAGCAGAGTGCCAGCTGGGCCCAGAGAGGGCAGACAATACACGGCAGCTCTCGCGATCACTCTGATGAGGGAGAAGAGCCCATCCTTAACGACCCGGGAGCACCGGCTGCTGGAACCAGTGGGCCGCACTAGGCTACCCTCACCCTGATACCATCGTCTCATCCCTCAGCTGATTAGCTTTGGGCAAAGTGGGAATGGGCTTGGGAGCTGTGCCCATCAACACACCTGAGATGGGGCTTTGCCAGTCACCACGTAGAAAGACACTGCAGTTTACAGCAAGTCATCAGGAGAGAGCAAGGAAAGGATAAGAAAACATGAAAAAAGAAAGTACAAGATGATATTCAATTCAATAATATGGCTTCAGACTAAACAAATGCGAAATACTTTTACTCCCCTTCTACAAGGCAAGGTCTCTCATGTTGGGTCCAACGAAATGCTGTTTTCAAGGATCATGCATAAAACAGAGCAATTTAAAATATTAAAATCCAAAATAGAGTCAAAGATTTATAAAATGAATGCAAGGGAAAATAAAACAGATTTCACAGACTTGATATCAGACAAAGAGGTAAAAGCAAATAATAAATGGAATCAAGACATTTTGTAGGGGACATGTCACAATGAATCAACAACTGTTATAAACCTCTATGTTCTAAACAATGGAGGGCAGGCTCTTAGAAATGCAGGGGGTCTAACATACACTCCTGTCTTTGGTAGACCAAGCAGTCAAAAAGTAACAACCTGAGGGCCGGCCGAGTGGTGCGTTGGTTAGGAGTTGGTTTGGGATGCCAGCTCTGAGCAGCAGGGCCCCAGTTTGGATCCTACATGAGGGCCAGTGACGCTGCGCCCTCTACAGCTAAGATGGTAAACAACAGCTTGATCTGGAGCTGGGCTGCCGTGAGTCGCTGGCGACGGCGTAGGCTGCAGCCCCTGCTGCAGTGGGCTGCCATAAGCTGTCGTGTGTAGCTGGCAGCCAGCGTGAGTGGCCCAGCAGCTGGCATGAGCTGCCAAGAGCCGCCGTGAGCGGCCATCCAGAGACGGGCGACCGATCTGCCTCACCCAGGAAGAGCGCAATGATAATACCAACATGGGCCAGTGAAGCGATGTCCTCCACAACTAGACTGAAGAACAAAAGGACAGCAACTTGTCTGTTCCCCTTCCCCGACTCCCCAATGCTGTTCCCCTCCCCCAATTTCCCAATAAAAATCTTAAAAAAAAAGTAATAACCTGAGTATTATAATGTAACTATGAGAGCAATTTGAGAGATTACACCTTTTCTTGCAGCCAGGAAACATTTACAAACACTGATCTTATGTTAAACCACAAGGCAAATCACAAACATTTTTAAAAACCCTGAAAGCATGTATGTCACAAATTCTAAACCAATGTAAAAAACTTAGAGAAAAGACTATGTCTTTAAAAACTAAAACCATTCATAACAGTGTTACGCATAATAGCCAAAAAGTGAAACCAATTCCTATGTCCATCAAATGATGAATGGGTAAATAAAATGTGGTGCATCCATACAATGGGGTATTATTTGGGAATAAGACAGAATGAAGTACTGATCATGCTCTAACATGGATGTACCTTGAAAACATGATGCTAAGGGAATAAAGCCACTCAAAAGACCACAAACTGCACAATCCCATTTAGATGAAATGTCCAAAATAAGCAAATCTATAGAGACAGAAAGTCAACAGATGGCTGTCTGGGGCTGAGGATGGGTAAGTGGGGAGCGGGGTGGGGAGACAACAAGGGGAATGACTGCTAAGGTGTGGGGTTCTTCTAGGGCAGCGGTTCTCAGCCTACCTAATGCCACGACCCCTTCATACAGTTCCTCATGTTGTGGTGACCCCCAACCATAAAATGGTTTTTGTTGCTACTCTATAACTGTAATTTTGCTACTGATATGAATTGTAATGTAAGTATCTTTTTGTTTTCCGATGGTCTTAGGCGACCCCTGTGAAAGGGTCGTTCGATCCCCAAAGGGGTCGTGACCCACAGGTTGAGAACCGCTGCTCTATGGGGAGATGCAAATGTCCTCAATTTTGTTGATGAATGTACTAGAAACCACTGAAATGTACACTTTAAATGGATGATACAATGAATTATAACTCAATAAAGCCATTAAAAAAAACCAAGCCCTTGAAAATTAAAAGAAACACTAACTTAAATAATACTTGTATAAAAGAAAAATTGAAACTATAATTACAGAACACTTAAAGAATATCACGGGCCAGCCAGATGGCTCAGTCGGTTAGAGCACAAGCTCTGAGCAACAGGGTCGCAGGTTCGATTCCCACATGGGCCCAAGCTGAGCTGCCGCTGAGCTGCCAACGGGCAGCCAAATGGCTCAGCTTGTGAGAGCATGCGCTCTTAACAACAAGGTTGCTGGTTCAACTCCCGCATGGGATGGTGAGTGCGCTCCCCCTACGCCCCGCCGCAACTAGATTGAAAGCGGCAACTAGACTTGGAGCTGAGCTGTGCCCTACACAAGTAAGGTTGAAGGACAACAACTTGACTTGGAGCTGATGGGTCCTGGAAAAACACAATTTTCCCTTCCCCAATTCCCCAACACTGTTCCCTTCCCCAATTCCAAAAAGAACATCAGTGCGAACACCATAATCAAAACTGGAGGCTATAACAAAATCAGCAATAAGAGAAAAATGTATACCCTTAACTGTTTTCCAAAGTAAAGTGGAAAGAATAATATACATAAAAATGAACCAATAATTCAACTGAAGTAGTTAATAGAAATAACAAAACAACTTAAGGAAGGCAGGAGAAATGAATTATAAAAGACAAAGGTGGAAACTCTGTATTTCATCAAATTTAGGATGTCATCTATTGTAATATGAGATTCACCATTATTTTATGTACCACTAAGAAAAACTGCTGCCAATTAAACAATGTCACAATGCTTTGTCACCATTAACTAAAAGATGTATCCAAATATCAGAGTTGTTAAAATGCAGAGAAAAAAACACACATCCTAGATTGATGGAATACAGTAAGTTAGAAAGAAGACAATGTGACTGATAAACAAAGTCTAATTCTTTGGAAAAACCAACAGACATAATTCTGGGAAAACAAATTAAAGAAAAAGAAAAATACAAACTATTAGGAATACAAAGTAAATATAACCATACACAGGAGGTTAAAGTTTATAAGAGAATACCATATAAAAACTCTATGGTCAAAAAAATTAAATGAGGAAAAAACTATGCTAATAATTTTGAAAGCTTAGATCAAATGGACAATTTTCTACTAAAAATAAATTTTCCAAATTGGCTTTAAGAGACTTAGAAAATCTAAATAAGCAATGTTTATGGAAGAAATTTAAGTTGTCAAAAATGTATCTCAAAAAAATTGCACTAGATCCCTGAAAACATTAGAGGTTACTTCTATAAAACCTTAATTACCCCGGTTAGTAATACTATTTTGATCATAAAAAGAGTAGCAATATTTTTTTCATAAAATTAGCATAACCCTGAAATCCAAACAACAAAAGCATTTTTCACCTATCAAATTGGCAAAGAGAAAATATAAGAAAAAAAAGCCCATGAAAATACAAAGCATGTGTGCACATGGAGAAAATAGGTAATTTTATCCCCTTCCAATGAAAGTATAAGTTGTCACAATCTCTATGGAGAACATTTTAAAGATATACATGAAAGGCATAAAATTTTGCTTACATTTTAACCCAATAATCACACTTCAAGGAATTTATTATAAGGTAATAATCATAACTATATGCAGGAAGTTTTTGCAACAAAGATGTTCACTGCAAATTTTACTAGCAAAAATGTAAAGACAGCTTAATTGTCAATATTAGAGAGTAGATTCGAGTTTGACAAATCTATCTCATGGGACCGAGTTATAGTGTAGAAAGGTAGGTAATAGCATTAAATAATGACAATGGAATAAACATATATATTTAAATGCATCCAAATGAATGAAAGGATATGAGGCAAAATAGGATTGATTCTCTCTAGATGGGATAACATATGATAGTAATTTTCTTCTCTTCTTAATTCCTTACAACAAACATGTATGAGTTTCTAATCAGAAAAATCAATAATAGTTATTATAATTTTGTTGGGCCAATCTATATTAATAATGCCCAGAGAACCAAAACACAGGGTTTGGGCCTGACTTCCCCCAGTTTGGGAGGATGTGGATGGACAAGTAAGAGTCTGAGACCCTTCTGGGCTGCAGGTGGGCGAGGCTTGGGATTCATCGGTCACTTGTAGAAAAAGCAGAATAACCCTTGTTTCAAGGCCCCCATCAAGGTCCCCATCCTTGAGAAGCATCAACAGCTGTTTCAATCCAAGGAGCCAACCAATTACCTCTATCCATGGCCCAGGCCACTTCCTGGAATTTCCTCAACTAGAAACTGGACAAACATCTTATTTGACGCTGAGCAGGTTTCTTCAAAAATAATATGCCAATTCAGGCTCCTACCTAGATAGGGGATACTGGGAACCATCTTCAGGCTTCGGATATACTCCCGAGTCCGCTTGTAATTATCTTCTTTAGACATCAGGTAGTCCAATTTCTCAAAGGTGGTCTTGTCTTTTCGATTCAAAAGCTGGAGTGAGAAGAAAATATAGAGTATGAGAGAGAGAGAAATCAACCAGAAGCAGCTAAAAAGAAAGGGGAAGCGTGGGCAAAGACTAAAAGGAAGTATCCTAACGGCATGTCTATGGTGTGCCAAATCCTGGGCACCACTGAAGACATTAAGAGGCTGTTTCATGCAGAGGTGGAAGGTTTATGACCTTGCTCTGTCACTTTTTCATAGAGCCTCACACTTGGAAGGTACCCTCTGAAGCTACCTAGTCCATTGTTCTAAATGATGCCAGGATCCCCTGCACAGCACCTGCCTCCATGGTGCTATTAGATCCTACACAAGCAAGGAGCTCAGAGAGGAAAGCAAATTGCTCAGTGTTTCAGGGTAATTCACAGCTACATCAGCTGCTTCCCCTGAGTCCACAGCTAGCTACTTGCTTTCTCCTCCACATCTCTGCCATTGCTGAAGGCCCCAGGAAATTTCACACAATTCACCTGTGTGTGCTGTGCACGCAGCCAGGTCATCTCACCATCCTAGGCTATCTCCTCCAGATTCCCTAGTCTATGGCTGTGTCATATTTATACTGGTTGCGGTATTTTAATCGAAAGAAGCCAAAATTCCCATAGGCAGTCATCTAAGGGATGACTCAGTTAAGCAAATACAGGAGGAGCAGGTACCCACAGCACAGAGATTAGAGAAGCGAGGTCCTTTATGACTGAGATCTCTGGCATGCAAGCTGGTCACCAGGGAAGAGATGGCTTCTTGGAAGAAAGGAATAGAAACCCGAATCCTGGTTGGTTCTCCAGACTTGATGCTAAGGACTCATGCTGTGGCAGGACCAGGTCAAGGCCAGTGCCAGGAAATAGCAACAAGGCTCCTTAATAAAATGGCTTTGAGGAAAGGAGTCTGGGCCGGGAGGCCAGGCTTGAAAAGAGGATCTGAGAGAGCGTCCCTCAGAGAGGCACAGCACGTGACTGATGTCGGGAGCCCTGCCAAGTTCAGCTTCCAGGACCCGGTGCCTCTGGGATTTTAGATCAAGGGCTGAGTCCAGGAGTATAAACGGAGAGGGACCCTAAGCCTGGAGCATCCTTGCTCAAGTTTACTTTTGAGATCCCAATACCAAGAATGTTGTCTGTACAAGAACAGCATGCCTGCCACATCCATCAGACTGAGGTAGGCCAGTGTTCACAGCCCCATCGTACAGCAGAGAGAAGTGAACGGCACCAGTACCCCTTTGGGTTACACTTTAGTACAAATGCAGTGCAGTGCCCAAGACCTGGGTTTGCAAATCCCAGGCTCAGGCCAAGCCTGGTGCATCCGGGAGCCTGGGCTGCCATGGGCAGGGGCTGCCCAGTTCCTTGAGCCTCAGACTCTGCAGTCACTGAGGATGCAACTGTGTGACGGCCCAGCTGAGCAGTGAAAGTTTAAGGACTTCAAGGAGAGGGACAAGAATAAGCTAAAAGAAAGTTTCCAGTGCTTAAGAAATTAGAGAATAGCAAGCCTTTATTTCCTGTTGAGAAATTCAGAACATATTAGGGTGGGGATGCTACACAGATGGGAGGGATAATGGCTGCTTCACTGGCTTGCTAATTTGAAACTGTTATTCATCACATTAACAAATGGACAGGAAATAGCCCCATCTCCCATTTGCTGGTTGTAAAGCACTGTAATATACAACTCATCTCATCTTTACAAGGCCCAGTGACAAAGATGGAGCCAAGACTATTGCCTCAATTTCAGGTTCATAATCACAGGATTCGGTGACCTGTCTGGGTATCCTTGGAGAACTCCATTCAATAGGGGAGAGAGATGTATATTATAGCAATGTGGTGAGTAAGTAAATAGAGACCAAGAGCCCAGACAAATAATAAGTAAATTATGCACGAGTGAAGTGTCAAGGAAAGCGATACAGAAGCATTTGAAATGAACATTTAAGGATGAGAAACACACTCAATAAGCCATATATATCCAGATGAGAACAAGATACTCTAGTTGTGAACTGCCCCACGGTAAAGTTGAGCGGGATCCTCACATCCTGGGCCAGGAGGTCCGGTCTGAAGCCCACTGAATTCCCTGGCAATCACCCGTGATCACCCAGCAGCCAAGTCCCTGTGTTGTCCTCGCACTCTGGCAGCTCAGCCATGCACTCACACCACAGATGCCCAGTGCTCACACCACCGGTTTTCTGGACCCAGCTAGGGGATGGCCCATGTCCCCTGCCACGCCAGCCTATCTGCCTCGCCTGCCGAGTGCCTCTGTGTATGGCGCCACAGAGGGGAGCAGCATGTCATCTGTGTCCTGACACATGGCTACGACCAGGTCAATATGAGGTTAGAGCCCTGAGGGATGCCCCTGGAAACTGTTCTGCAGATTTGACCTCAAACCAACAATTGGGGTTCTCTGACAGGGTGGGACAACCAAAGATGGCCACGTTGCATGCTTCCTAAATTCAAAACTAAGTTCCTCCAGGTCATACCTGCCTCTGTTAACCTTGCCTCCATACACATACTCCCTACCTATCTCCGACCCCCTTACACGCACACGCGCGCGCGCACACACACACACATTCAGAAGCGCTGGATCTGGTTAAAGTCACTCATCTGCTCCATTCTGTGTCCACAAATGAAATTCAGGGTCACACCGGATTTCTCAATGATAATGTATAGGATGCACGAAGACATGAAAAAACCATTTCCCAATCATGGTTTTGAAAACTACTTGAGAACTTCCTCTAGCAAAATGAAGGAACAAACCAAGTACAGGAAGATATGGGACACAGGAAACAGCAGATCCAATCCAGGGGCAGTAAAGGGAGGTCCTGGGATACAGAGGAACATCAGGCCTTAAAAATGCCTGGTCCACATCCTATCAACCCGGCAGAGATGTGTCCAAAGAGAATGCTCCACAGAAAATCTGATAGGACCACACGTTTGTTAGAGAGAAAGATATATTTATTACATATAATAAAAAATAAGAATAAAATAAATTTAAGATTTTATACGTATATTACATAAAATCTAGTAAATGTTATATATTTAAAATATATTAAACATATAACATAATGTATAATATATAAAAAATATTACATAACATATACAAAATATTTATATATATACACACACACACACACACACACACACACACACACACACACCACAGTTGACCCTTGAACAATGCAGGTTTGAACTCCATGGGTCAATTGAGCTACACAGGAAGCTTAAGGGCAGTCAATTGAAATTGAACTGCATTGGTCAACTTTTAAAAATCCACATATAAGTGGACCTGCGCAGTTCAAACCCACGTTGTTCAAGGGTCAAGTGTGTGTGTGTGTTATCTGGTAGATAGATGGTAGCTAAAGAATTTTTTTTAAAACAAGGAATTAGAAATTCCAGGGAAACAAAAAGTATTCCAGAAAGGACATGTTATTAATAGTTTACTACTTGACTACAGAGAACCATATTTAGACATTCTAATAATTAAAACACTGAATACTCATTTAACGAAAGTGATTTAACCATTGTAACGTGGGTTTGAAGAATGAGGCGAGGTGGTTCAGGAAAACTAAACCAACATCTACCTTACAAAGAAGTCACCAAGTACTGTCTAAAGTGAATGGATCAAGAAATTGTAGCTAAAGCACATTAGTGGAAATGTGGCAGAAACTACCAGGAGAGCTTGCTAAGTGGCTGCCTCTAGGGAATGGATGGGGTCTGGAGAGAGAGTGATGAGAGTTCACTGTTTCACTAAGCCTTTCGGTATGTAGTGATTTTCCAAATTAACGTGCATGCATTATGCTGAAAAAATTCTTTTAAGATTTAATTTTTTAAACATAGGGTTTGTTTACTCAAAAAATAACAGCACTTACTTATACACGTTTTAAACTTTTATTACAAATAAAGCCATAAACTGAAAACCTCGTATGAATTGAAGGTCCTTTAGATTTTAGAGTTTACAGGAAGCCTGAGGCAAAAACCATCAGAAATGTGTACAAGAAAATAAATGATTTGCCTACTTGAGTCAAACAGATACTAAAAGCATTCATGCTCAGGAAAAGGGGTTGAGGGAAAGCTCACTAAATACAACAGGCAACTTCACTTGTAGTAACATCTAGAAGCCTGGGGCACCCTGAGATTTTCTCCCATAATATTTATTACGACTGTAATTAATTGTGCAGTTACTTTGTGTCTCACTCAGCTAATGATGTACCCATCCAGGCAGCGGCCATGTTGGCTGTATTCACTCTACTATCCCCTGCATCTGCTATGGCCCCTGACACCGAGGAAACACTGCCTGAATATTTGTTGAATAAACGAATGAGAAAACTAATGATGATAACTTAAAAATCCAATTCCTTGGAAAATTTTGAACACTCCAATAATTCTTGAGTAAAAGGGGAAAAAAGCCACGGTTATGGACTATTTACAAACCACAAATAATGAGAACACTATATGTTAAACTATGTGATGAGGCCAAAACTGGGCTGCGAAGGAAACTCATGGTTTTTAACTCTTTTATAATTAAACAAGTAAGACTATAAATGAACTAGACATTCAACTCAAGAACCTAGGAAAACGGTGGGGGGAAAATAAGAAACTAATAGATAAAATTAGAAATTGATGTTAAAAAAACAAAATAAAACTATAAAACTAAGCACAAAACCTATAGAAATGAAAACGAAACCCAAGAACTAATTTTTATAAAATATCAATAGCACAGGTAAAACCTCTACAAACAAGGCAAAAAGCAAAAATAGACAGCATTAGGGTTGAGAAAGGGGCTATAACCTCATATGCAAAGTGAACAAAAATTACAAGGTAAAAATCAAGTCCCTGCATATTGATTTTAAATAATTTTCATGGTATGAAGGGATTAACAGGACTCAAATCACAGGGTCAAAAGCCAGGAAGATCACACATCTTGGTCAAATACCTGAGGAAGTGGGCGGCTTTTGGAGACTTCCCTTATCGTGCTCCGAGAGCCTGTATGTGGCACTTGGACTAATGACGAGAAATCCCCCTCTT